GTAATTGTGTTTTTCCCCTTAACTTTGGAAGTTACTTTGGAAAGAAGGGAGGGGGGTGAAGATAAGGCAAAGCTGTTAAATGGGAAATCTAAGGCTAATTAAGGCCTGGCTTTGCTAATCGCCTTAGAAACGAAGTTATCAGCTGAAAAAGCCTGGATTTGGTGCAATGGAAGTTTGGAATGGGCTTCCCCCTCGTTTCCTTCTGTCACAATGCATTCAGAGATTAAAAGTTTACCTTGCAGACAGATCTTGACACCACGAGACATGTTGTCTCTTTGCATTATCTGCAGGAGGCTGCAGCTGCTCTGGGATGGATTTCAGTCGGAATAGTTAAAATTTGGCAAAGTTATAAACAAATAAAGTCAGGATCCTTTAATGGGAGCTGTCAGTGTTCATCCAGATGTCACAGCACACTCCAGCTAGAGTTCCATGTCCAGGACAAGAGGGAATCACTGTTCCTTCTCCTTCTCCTTCTCCTTCTCCTTCTCCTTCTCCTGAGATCCTTCTTAAGGATCACCTCATTCCACCCCCTGCCATGAGCAGGGACACCTTCCACCAGCCCAGGTTGCTCCAAGCCCTGTCCAACCTGGCCTGGGACACTTCCAGGGATGGGGCAGCCACAGCTTCTCTGGGCAACCTGTGCCAGGGCATCACCACCCTCCCAGCCAGGAATTCCTTTCTGATATCCAATCTAAACCTACTTTCTTTCAGTTTGAATCCATTCCCTGTGTCCTGTCCCCCCATTCCTTGTCCCCAGTCCCTCTCCAGCTCTCCTGGAGCCCCTTTAGGCCCTGCAAGGGGCTCTCAGGTTTCCCTGGATCCTTCTCTTCTCCAGGTGAACCCCCCCAGCTCTCCCAGAGCACTGTAAAATCAACTTTGCTTTTTCAAATGGGGGCCTCAGATGTGATGGCAGAGGAGATGCTGGTGTTGGGCTGGGAGGTTCAGGAGCATAAGGGAAGACATTTCCCCAACTGTCCAACCAGACCCTCCCCTGGCACAGCTTGAGGCCGTTTCTTCTTGTCCTGTCCCTCCTTCCCTGGGAGCAGAGCCCGACCCCCACCTGTCCCAAACTCCTTTCAGGGAGTTGCAGAGAGCAGAAAGGTCCCCCCAGGGCTCCTTTTCACATCTGCAGAAGCTTCTAGAAAGTGGATTGTCAGTTCAGTGTCAGCTTTTACTTGGACATTTCACTGCTGGAGACAAATTGTTCCTTTTCCACGTTGAACTCTTAGGACATTTTGCTTGGAAAATAATTGCAAGTGTCTCACCCAGCAGCTTTCTGCAAAACACATCGAAGATCTCTGGTGATGGATTTGTTTTCTGTTTGTTTCCCTGGGATTTCTTCACTAGAATGCAGTGTTAACAGGTTATTTATAAATGCCAACCACTTTCCATGGGTTTGATCCCTCCTGTGCGTGGAGTGATGGAGACATTATTGAGTCACCCTCATTTACTGGAGGGGAATGATTCTATTTTTAATTTGGCATCACTTTCTGGGTGAGTGAATGGCAAGTTAATAGTCACGTGGCAATCTGACTGCCAGAAAACAAGGGGGAAACTTGAGACTTGCTGATCATATTTAACCTGCTGAGTTTCATCATCTGCCTTGAGCCTTAAATGTGCCTTTGGGGGCCAACCACGAGAGGGACTTGGGACAAGGACATGAGGTGACAGGACAAGAGGGAATGGCTTCATACTGAAAGAGGGCAGGGATAGATGGGATATTGGGAAGGAATTCTTGGCTGTGAGGGTGGGCAGGCCCTGGCACAGGTTGCCCAGAGAAGCTGTGGCTGCCCCTGGATCCCTGGAAGTGTCCAAGGCCAGGTTGGAGCAACCTGGGCTAGTGGGAAGTGTCCCTGCCCATGGCAGGGGGTGGGAATGAGATGACCTTTCAAGTCCCTTCCACCCCAAACCATCCCATGATTCTGTGATTTCATCCTCTGTAGGATGCAAATATAAAGACCCTGCCTCGCTAAATAGGCTAAACATGAATTAATTTGACAACACCTAATTTTTTTCATTAGTTTTGATGTGCTTGTTCTTGATTATCTAATTTCTTGATTACCCATCTAATAGGAGATAATTCTTCAAGGAGTTAGAAAAACTCTGGGCTGATTGTCCTGTTGATGCTGTTCTTTGCAGCAAATGGAGCATCTGAAGGGACTGGGGGTTTATTTGCCATGAACACCAAAAATCCAATAAGGTTCCTTAATAGGAAGATAATCTGTGTGTTCAAGGTCTTTTGTGGGACAAATTGGGACATAAATGAGGGTTCCCAAAGAACCTTCTGCCCTCAGGGTCTGAGAGCTGCAGGTTGGGACATCAGGGCACGTGAGCCTTGTTGGGAGGATGGAGATCCAGAGTCCTCCTGGTTGTCTCATGTTGGCACCGAGAGAACAAATTCTGGGGCCTTTCTCTGGGGTTCAGTCGTGGTTAGTGCAGGGATAAAACAGCAGGACTGTTTATAAATGCCTCATAAACCCAGATTTTTTAAAAGAATTTATGCTGACAGTTTGGGCTTTGTTTAGCAGATAGAGCTTTGGTCTTTCCTTGTGTAATTTTTGGATTTGATTTGTATTGGTCTCTCTGGAACTGACTTGTGGATGTGTACACAGGCACTCAGGTTACTCCAGTATATGAATTTCCAGATAGCTTACACAGATATTCCAGAAATTTAAGAAAGCTGACATGAATTACTTAACTAAAGCACAGAAGGACAATGGTGGGACTGTGGGGCTGGTGGCAGGCTGCTGGAAAATGACATTTTAATTAATTTTACAGTTTTAAAATAATTCTTCTGACCTCAAATGAGGCTAAAACCAAACAAATCCCCAAACCTGCAGAAACAGGTGGTGCTGGAATGACCCAGGACTGGCAGGTTTATTCAGTGTTGTAGTTGAACCCAGCACCTTCGGGAGCACCCAAGGGCACAACTCAAATGTTCTGCTTTCACCAAGAGGCTGAGAAACTAAAGAACTGAGCAGGCAGGCAACACAGGCCACTCCTGTCTCTTGCCTTGGGAATAAAGCTTAATAACTATATATATTTTTATTTAGAACTGCTCTGGTCAGTTCTGGTTTGCTTTGTTGCAAATCTCGGAGCAGACCTTGAGGGCTGGGCTGGGCAGAGCTGGGGTGTGGGAGGATGGGAGGGATGATGCCCCTCTCAGAGCTCAGCTCTGAATTCACTCTGGGGGCAGGAAATTGTGCTTAAAAGTCTTCTGAGAGGTCAAACAGCAGAGCAGGAGCAGGATGGGATTTTTCTGCTTCATGTTCTGCACAGAATAATAAAATGGGGCTCGTTTTTGCTGTGGGCTCCTCTCCTGTAGCAATCCAAGAGAGCAGCACGAGGAGTACAAAGGAAGGTGTCCTTGTTTGGGTCACCTGGGCTTGGGACACGCACGTGCCCCACACTGGGGGGGCTAAAACTGCCCCTTAGAGGTGCCTCAGGGCAGCTGATCCAGGCAGGAGCCTCCTCCTGCTGCTGCAAGAGCCAGTTGAGCAGGGTCGGTAAAAATCAGGAACCACAGATGGGAGGAAAGGTGGTGAGGCTGGAAGAGATCCCAGAAACACTGGGTGTTGTAATAACTGTGCAAAATGCTAATGCAGAGCAGGCTGCAAAATAGGGAACACTGGCATTGCTAGGCCTGCTTGGCATATGTGTTTGGAATGGTTTCCTGGTGTCCTGGAGACCTGGCTTTAAGGTAAATGGTGGTGGCAAACAGGGAGGGAAGAACACAGGTACAGCAAGCCTTCCTGCAAACTCCCTTTTCTGTGAGAGAAAAAGAAGATCTGAAAAGATCTGATAACTTGTAAAGTGTGATTTAATTTCATTTTAAAGAGCACGTGAAAGAACAACAATGAACAAATGTTTTCAAGTGGGAGAAATCTGTCCCTGCCATATGTTACACTGACTCATCCCCTCTGCAGGAGGAGATCTTGCAATTGTTTGAGCTGTTCCAGTTGCTTAATCCTTTTTATTTGGGAGCAGCATCACTGTAAACTCAGTGCTGGATCCTGCACTGTGTGTGGGATACAAACCTGAGCCCTCTAAAGCTGGCACAGCTCTGGGCAGGGGTTGGTACTGGTGGGGACCAGGGACAGCCCCCAGGGAATGGCTGGAGCTGTGTCAGGGCAGGCTCAGGGTGGATCTCAGCAAAAGGTTCTTCCCCCAGAGGGTGGTTGGCACTGAACAGGCTCCCCAGGGCAGTGGGCACAGCCCCAAGGCTGCCAGAGCTGCAGGAGGCTTTGGATGATCCTCTGGGGCACAGGGGGGGACTCTTGGGGATGGCCTGTGCAGGGGGTTGGACTCCAGGATCCTTGGGGGTCCCTCAGCACATTCCCTGATTCTGTGATCCTGCTGGAAATCCCAACAGAGCTTCATCCTGAATTAATAAATTCTCTTGGAAACCTCAAGGAAAAAACAAAGGAGACTCCACATCCTACTGAAACAGGGAAAGGAATGTTGTTGGTGTACCTGTAGATTTCTTTCCTCTGTCATGATCCCTTGGAAAATGCTTCCCAGAGGATCAGGGCCAAGCAGCCCCACCAGGCTATTCATGATCTACCAGGTCTTGGTATTAATGTGCCATCTCCTTAAAATATGTTTTTTGAATGGACCTGACCATCTCAGCCCTGCTCCATTCCAGTAGAGAATGGAAGTGGGAGGAGAGGGTGATAATACATTATAAAAAATTAATTCTTTTTCTTTTGGCATTCCCTTTCTCACTTTTTATACTCGATGATCCCCATGGGTCCCTTCCAGCATATTCTGTGTTCCTGTAAATTATAGAGTGGTTTGGGTTGGAAGGGACCTTGGAGCTCACCTAGTTCCACCCCCCTGCCGTGGCCAGGGGACAAATACCCCTTAGTGAGCAAACCTGGCCGTGGGTTTCTCCTTCCCAGCTCGACTTTGGGATGCTCTGCCCAAGCCCCACCGCTTCTCCCCCTTCCCTCTGCCCTGCCCAGAGCGTGGGGCTGACGGTTCTGTGGCTTGTGTTGCAGGTGTGGCTGTGTGGGGGCAGCATGGAGGTCCTGCCCTGCTCCAGGGTGGCCCACATCGAGCGCAAGAAGAAGCCCTACAACAACAACATCGGGTTCTACACCAAGCGCAACGCGCTGCGCGTGGCCGAGGTGTGGATGGACGACTACAAGTGGCACGTCTACATCGCCTGGAACCTGCCCCTGGAGGTACTGAGGCCTTCCAACCTGTAAGAAACGAGTTTTAGGATGGCTTGCTAGCACCTGCAGCTTGCCAGTGTTCCCCAGCATTCCTAAAAACGCTGTTTAACTTCCTCTGTTAAGGATTTTCAACAGGCAAGGGATTTTAACCGGCTGTCTGTAAAAATGCACTGACAGTGAGACAGAACAGAGACACAACACCTGATAGAAGTAGTCAAAGCTGCTCAGGAGCCTTGAAACCCTTCCAGAAGGGTCAGAGGAGATGAGGAGGAAGATGAGGAAGATGAAGATAAGACGTTTTTGGGATGTCTGACTCAAATTTGGGAGGTGTGGTGAGGGTGGTACTAAGGGAGGGACTGTTTTGGAAGTGGGTGTGGCAGTATTAAGCAGTGCTTTGAATTGTTAATTAGGTAATGCTTTGAGTTGTTAATTGGGTAACTAAATAAAAGCAAGAGGCTTTGGTAACTCTGGAGTCAGGCTCTGGAAGAAATTAGATTCTTGTGCATCCAGTATCATAACAATAATAATAATAACGGGAATAATAATAAAACTCACAAATTGAGTTTTAGGCATTTTCTTTTAAGTGCTGATTTTAGGCATCAGCACAGCTAAGGCACCCTGTCCTAAGTTTTCCCTTCATTGCTTAAAAACTTGAATTATAGAGCATTTAGTGCCTCTGGTGCAGCAGAGCCTGAAACACCCTTAGGTCTCATCCCCAGGCTGAGAAAGTCAGAACTCCCTCAGCTTTGAGGGAGGGACTTTGGAGGGATTCCCACTGTTCCCATCAGCCTTTTTATTTCCATTTCTGAAAGCTAAACCTGTTGCAGTGTTTGTGTCCCCGTGGAGTGTTTGCACAGCAGGAGCTGATGTGGCTCTGCCCTGCAGATGGAGCCTGTCTGCAGGCTGTGGTAGGAGGTGATTCATGGCAGTAGTGCTGGTGTCAGGTCCATCCCTGGGCTCAGGCAGCTCTGGGGCATGTGCAGCCCATCCTGGGTGTCCCAGCTCACAGACACTGGCACTGCCCAGGGCTCTCTGTGCTCCTGATGCTGGGGACATTTGCCTTTGGAGAGTCAAGGCCATTAGTGCTTAAAACCCATGGTTAGAATAAAGGACTGGAGGTTGGTGGCTCACAGGAGATCCCCTCCCAGCAGCACCATGGGCAAGTGCCCCCAACACTCTGTTGAAACAGCTTTGGTGGTTCAGTCATTTCTGCCCAGAAACGCTCAGGTTTTCTTAGATCTGACAGGTTGTTTCTGAGGGAAGCCCCAGAAAATGGGGGATCCCACCAGCAGGTCCAGCTGAGCGTGACCAGGGGGCACAGCCTGCCTGGGACTGCTCTAGGTGGGGCCTGGCACTGCTGGGGAAAGCTCTGTGGGCTCCAGGAGGGCTTTGTGGAGAGGCAAAGCTGCTGCCTGGGCTCAGCTCTCTGTGCAGGCTGCGTCTGATCTGGGAAGCCAAGGGCATCTCCTGCTGCCTGGAGAGCCCTGGGAGCAGCATCTCCTGCTGCTGGTCCTGCCAGAGGAGGACAGAGGGGTGTGGGGGTGGGGAGACAGTGATGCTCTCCAGGTTTTGGGTGGGATGAGGGTTCTGGGTGCCCCACAGAGCCCTGGGCACCCCCCCACATGCAGTGGGTGACAGAGAGCTGGGCTGCTCTCCTGAAGTGTGAGGTGAAACCACTGCCAGGAGTGTCCAGAGCCCATGAGAGCAGTTATTTCCAGCGACTCTCTTGGTGCTAAAAATAAACCCCAGAACATTCCTACTTGGCAGATCTCAGCAAAGAGCTGCTGGGATCCTGATCCTGATCCTGATCCTGACTCCTGCTGTGCTCCTGGTGCTGCTGCAGCAGCATCCTCAGCTGGAGCAGCATCTGCTCCAGGGCCTCTGGAAAAACAGTACAACCTAAAAATCTGAGCTGCTGCTGCTTCCTGAGGAAAGGTTACACCTGTGGGGACTTCCTGGCATTTGGAGCCACAGAAGTCCCAGAATTTGTAGAGAATTACAGAACAGCAGGTCCCTGGGAAGGCTCCATGAGCTGCCTGTGCTGCAGGTTGATGGTCCTGGGGGTGCTGGGGAGTCCTGGGGTAGTTGGTATAAAACCAGCAAGAAACAGAGGAATAGAGATGGAAGGAAAAGCTCCTTGCCCAGGGAGCTGCAGGAGGGCACTGCTCCAGCTGTTGGGAGAGGAGCTGTAGGACTGAGGAAATTTAAAACCCACTGGGAAGCTGCAGGTCCTGTAGAGCTTGGAAAAGGCAGCAGCACATGGATCAGCACTAGGGGTGGGTCTGGGTGACCCAAAATCAATTTGAGATTTTTATATACCAAAAAAAATCCAGATTTGGATTTGTTTGCTAGGGTGGGATTTTATAGATATACCCTGAATTCTTCTGTGATGCCACTGAATCCCAACCCAAGGCAAACCCCTGCCCTGCTATTTCAGGTGCTGCCTGACTGATTTGTTGTCCCACCCCATTTTGTCCACTCAGATTTCAGCCTGTCCTACCTGTCTGGACTGAATCATCTTTATTTTTACCTCTGAGCTACCAGTGGCACATTAAAATGGTGTCTTTTCTCAAGCAGAGTGAATAATTCATTAGAAGATCATTACAAGCGTTGTAATGGAAAATTGCTTTCCCAGTCGTATTTAATGATCACTGCACAGACAAGAGCAGGAGCTAAAATAGAGTGGAAACCCAGACACCTGTAGGGAGGAGGACAAGGGGCTGCAATGAGCCTTTGACTTCCTTGCTGCTGCCTTAGCTCCCCAAATTCCATGCCAGAATAAGAGGTTAAAGGGGGGCAGCTCTCTCCAGCCCCTGCTCCCAGCTCCTGTGGGATTATCCCTCAGGGACAGCCTGGCTTTTAAATCTGTTCCAGCAGTGGGTTCCTCCATGTCTCCAGGGAGACATTTTCACCCTGGAATTGTCCAAATGGTCATGTTTATCCTGTATCCTTAGATCTGTTATATCTGAATCTTCAACCTTTCTTCTTCTTTCTTTCCCCCTTTTTTTTCTACCTTTTAACCCTCCTCTGTGTCTCAGTGGGGTCACACCCCCCTGGGGGGTCAGGGAAGGGGTTTGGTGCTCAGTGCCCACACAGGCGTTGGCATTTCCATCTTTTAAACCCTGATGTCCATTTGCTGCTGCAAGTCTGAGCCTACACAACCTTATTGTTCTTCCCTTCCCTTCCCTTCCCTTCCCTTCCCTTCCCTTCCCTTCCCTTCCCTTCCCTTCCTTCCCTTCCCTTCCCTTCCCTTCCCTTCCTTCCCTTCCCTTCCCTTCCTTCCCTTCCCTTCCTTCCTTCCCTTCCCTTCCCTTCCCTTCCCTTCCCTTCCCTTCCTTCCTTCCCTTCCTTCCTTCCCTTCCCTCCCTCCCTCCCCTCCCTCCCCTCCCCTCCCTCCCCTACCCTCCCCTCCCCTCCCCTCTTTGTTTATTTGGGATTTTTACTGGTTTGTTTGATTGTTGTGGATTTCCCCCCTCCCTTAACAAAATATTATGGAAAAGCACGTGTTTCTCAGCGTTTCCCAGATGGATCCAAAGCCCAAGGGAATCGGAGAGAAGATTCCCCATCATTCCTGCACTTCCCATTTCTTCTCCATTTGGCTCCTCTTTCCTGAGTTCCCCCCAGGACCAAGGCATGTCCCATCCCAGGGGTGTCTCCTCCTTGCTGTGGCTCTGAAAGCCACATTTTCCTTGGGATTCTTGCAGCCAGAATTCCCTGACGTGGCCTCTTCCCGGAGCTTCCAGGCAGTTTGGAAAGGGCCTCAAAACACCAGTGAGATCCGTTCATTTTGAACCTTTCTGAAGAGTGACCGCCCCGTGCCGTGTCCTTGTTTTCCAGAATCCGGGCATTGACATCGGGGATGTTTCGGAGAGAAAAGCGTTAAGGAAGAGCCTGAAGTGCAAAAATTTCCAGTGGTACCTGGACCACGTTTATCCAGAAATGAGGAGATACAACAACACCATTGCTTATGGAGAGGTAATTAATGCTGAGCAGCCCCTGAGCTCAGACTGGTGATATTTCTCTGATGAGAAATGGCCTCAAAGGAGATGAATGTGAATCAAAACTGACTATTTGTGTCCAATTATATAAATTTGTAGCAATCTGTTCCCAGTTTCTTCTAAAAACCTGTTTGGGGATTTATTTCTGATCTTGGAGACCGTATAAAGTAAAATATTTTAATACATCATTTACTGAATTGACAGAAAAATTATCTATATTTCCCATTGACTGCATGGATTAAGCAGCTGTTTGTATATTTTTAATACACAGTCATCTTTTAAAACTCTCTGACTTAAGCTCAGCCTAATTCCTGACAAGGTCTCTGTAGGATACAGTGTGTTGTCACAACAGCTTAAGGACAAGATAAAGTAAGGAGACTTAATTCAATCTCTGCTGGCTTTGAAACCATTCTGGGAATATAGAAACAGGCATTTATGGGAACTAATAATAAATCCTCTGTTGCAATGGATCTGATGGAATAGTGGCAGTTGGAGGAGGCTCCTTGAAGCACAGCCTGAGCCTCCCAGATGGGAATAATTTTAGGAAAGATTTGTAATCAAAGTTATTAAAGCCTTCAAGCTAAAACCTCCCAACAAGTATTTTCATAGAATAGCAGAATCCTAAAATGCTTTGGGTTGGAAGGGACTTTAAAGATGATCCATTCCCACCCCCTGCCATGGGCAGGGACACCTTCCACCAGCCCAGGTTGTTCCCACCTGGCCTTGGACACTTCCAGGGATCCAGGGGCAGCCACAGCTTCTCTGGGCAACCTGAGCCAGGGCCTGCCCACCCTCCCAGGGAACAATTCCTTCCCAGTATCCCATCCAACCCTGCCTTCTGTCAGTTTGAAGCCATCCCTTGTCCCCATTCCCTCTCCAGCTCTCCTGGAGCCCCTTTAGGCCCTGCAAGGGGCTCTCAGGTCTCCCAGAGCCTTCTCTTCTCCACATGAACCCCCCCAGCTCTCCCAGCCTGTTTCCAAAGGCATTATTGCATTATGGCCCTGCCTGGGAAGCCTGGAGAGAGGAGAGCTGAGAGCTCTGGAGAGGGGAGAGCTCTGGAAAGGTCAGAGCTCTGGGGATCAGCCCTGGTTCCCAGGGCTGTGGTGGCTGAGTCTGGACCACAAACCCCTCCTGCCCTGCCCCTCCCAAGTGTGTCCTTCAGCTCATGGCAGTGCTCTGCCATCTCTGCCTCTCCTCCTCCATCCCTCCTTCTTTCCCAGGTGGGCTTTTTTCCCCTGCTGTTCAGTTTTCACTGAAATCTGAGCAATCCTGCACTGATTTTGGGCCCCTGGCAACTTGCTGCCAGCAGCCTAAAGCTGGCTTTGTTCCCACCACACGTGAGCAGAGAGGAGAAAGCCGTGTCCAGGGAAACTGGCTCCTTGGAATGGTGGTTATTATATAAAAGCAACCACCATTAGCCCTGGATTTAAAGAAAAACATCCAGTGCACTAAACCTTTTCCCTGCCTGATTATTCCCTGTGATGTAACACCTTGCAGTCCTCCTCCAGCAGGGGAGGGCTGAGCATCTTTTATTCCTCATCCCTGAGCTGACAGGGCCCTGACTCTGCTCTTCTTCTTTCTTCCAGCTCCGAAACAACAAGGCCAAGGATGTGTGCCTGGACCAGGGCCCTCAGGAGAACCACACAGCAATACTGTACCCCTGCCATGGCTGGGGCCCTCAGGTGAGGGGGGAGACACTGCCAGAGGGCACAGTGGGGTTAAAAACACCTCAGGGATCACAGGGAATTTTTCCTCACGCCCTGGTTTTCTGGGTTGCCAGAACCGTGGCAGAGCTGCAAGTAAAAGTTTGGAAGAATCTTGCAGGCAGGGGTAAATAATGATGGAAGCAAACAGCCCAGGAGCAGGACACAACCCAAGGCCAGTTAGGATGGGGGGCTGAGCAGGTGGAAGGTGTTGCCCCGTGGCAGGAGTTGGAACAAGATGATCCTTAAGGTCCCTTCCAACCCAAAGCACTCCATGATTCCCTGATTCCTCCTCTTTCACCCAGCAGAATAAAAATGGCCCAAACAAAAAGTGCTGTGACAATTCTCCATCTCAGCTTGGCTGGGATTTCCCTTTGCATGATTTTTCTACTCCTCCTTTTGCCTCTGGAAAATGTTGGGGTATCTGGGGTCCAACACGCTCAAGGAGGTTCATTTTCAGCTCAGATAATGAATAGTTCAGGTGATGGAAATGCATCAAGATCCCATTTTACTCTATGGTCACCTTGGGCTTTCCAGGCTCACCAGACTAAGGAATCCCAGAGCTCATCTGAGCCTGAACTGGAAAATTCAGGAGACACCTGAGGCTGGGAGTGAGATATGGGAGCCCTTCAGGGGAGGGACAATGTCCCTCTGGTTTATCCCTGCCTGTAAACAAAGATCAGGCAACTGGGGCTGGTCCAGTCACTGCTAAATAGAACAAAGCTGTTGCTTAAATGCACACCATTCTTTTCTCAAATGGCACAAAGTACCTTTTGGACTTTGTGGATGGAAACTTCAACCCCTAAGTGCATTATGGTGTGAGAAACTGGATTAGGCTGACATTGCCTGCTAACCCTGGGCTCTGAGATGAATGGCTGAAAGCAGGTTATTTATTTTTCCCTCAGTTACTGGGATTAAATTTAACTCTGTTTTCTTCTCCTACCTGGAGTTCTGAAGCCAAACCTGGCAGTGCTGCTGACTCCCTTCCTGCTCCCCACTGTCCAACCTCAGCAGAGATTCTTCCTGGTCTTCCCTCTCCACGAGTGTCCCTTCCCTCTTCCCACTGAGAGTGGCAGTTCTTTTGTTTCATGGTACATTGCAGGAGTTCAACTCCTTGGAAATGCTTTTTTAGAGGAGTTGTCAGTGAGCTTTGGAATTTGCAGCAAAATTGGACTTTCTCTACAACTGTTTAATTAATGGGCTGCTTGTTGTAATTTATGGCTGGGAATGTGATGTAAACACTTGTTATATATAAATATATTTTTTTTAATTATTTAGATATATAATTTATAAATATATAATATATAATATATATATTTATAATATATATTTTATATATATTATATATATTTAATATATATTTTATATTTATATATTATAATATATTTTTATATATAAATATATTTTATATATTTATATATTTATATATAATATTATATGATATATAATTTATAAATATAAATTATTTAGATATATAAACCCACAAGGAGTTGTAATTCCTTTGCAGCTGCTCAGGATCCCAAAACACACAAGGTGGTGCTCAAGTTGCACATCATGTCCTGAAATCCCCCTTTCTCTCCTTGATCCTGTGGCCCATCCCAGACATGTTTGAAGTTTAATTTAAACTAAATTTAGTTTAATTAAGAGCAGGTTCCTCAGCAGCAAGTGAGGGGAAGGTGTGGGTTCCCTGCTGGCATGTGATGTGAGGACAGGGGGGCTGTGGATCCTGTTCCCTGCCCTGCTGGGGATGGTGGGATGTTCTTGGAAGTCCTCGTTCTTTCCAGGTTCATCCCCACACCATCCTTCTGTCCCTAGATCCACAGGGAGAGAGAGGCAATGACCTGCTCTGCAGGGAGGGATTTATCCCTTTTATCCCATCAAGGCAGGGCAGTTTTTGTCCTATCCTGAATTTCTGCTCTCTCCTCACTGCTCCTGGGTTTCAGCTCAGCCTGGAGCCCTGAGCTGGATGCAGCTGGGTGTGGTGGCCCTGAATGCAGATGAGACCTTGGCTTTACTCACAACTCCTCCTCTGTATCCCCCACTAGCAACATTTTAGGGGGTTTTCTCTTTAGCTTCCCTTTCTCCCTGCTTTCATGCACTTCCAGGTCAACTCATGACCAGATTCCAGCACGAAGGATCCTTTTATCCCGTAATTATGTTGAGCCTGCTGATGGATTTTTTTTTCCTTGCCTGATGGCTTCATCTTTGAAGCAATTCATCATGCAAACACCTTGCAGTAATGATGTATTACACTAATAATACAGTAATACCTCATTGGAGTGGCAGAACTATGGTGATGTATGAAGGTGATAGAAAGCACTATAATGCTATAAAACTTAAGATAATGTTCACCCAGCAGAGCATTTCATTTAATTATAGGATAAAATATGTTTTGCCCATTTAAGCAGCAGAACCTGAGGACAAACCCATCAATACTGGGATCATGTGGGACACAGGTGACGAAACAGCACATCAGATTAAATTGTGTTAAAAGGCAAATAGTGAACATTTTCCTGAGGGCTGTTAATTGATGGGCTGCTCAGTGCAGAAGGGAAGCTAAACAACCCTAAATTATTTTCCAATAGAGTCAATGAAGGTCAGCAAGGCTTTTATTTCCCAGGTGCTAAGATGTCTAATTAACTTTCTCCCCTCCCTGAGATGCACCCAGGCAGAAATAATAATCCCACAAGATGGACTGGGGGGGGACAGGTTTGCTGGGGAGGGGGAGGGGTCAGCATGAGCTCTGTGTCCCTCTGCTCCCCTGGATCAGGGGGCTGGGAGTCCCTGGGAGAAGAAGTCCCCTGAGGAGCAGCTGAGGGAGCTGGGGGGGGCTCAGCCTGGAGAAAAGGAGGCTCAGGGGGGACCTTCTGGCTCTGCAATCCCTGACAGGAGGGGGGAGCCGGGGGGGATTGGGCTCTGCTCCCAGGGAACAGGGACAGGAGGAGAGGGAACGGCCTCAGCTGTGCCAGGGGAGGGGCAGGTTGGACATCAGGAGGAATTTCTCCCTGGAAAGGGTGGTCAGGCACTGGCAGGGGCTGCCCAGGGAGGTTTGGAGTCCCCACCCCTGGAGGTGTCCAAGGAAGGACTGGAGGTGGCTCTCAGTGCTCTGGGCTGGGGGTAGGGTTGGGATGAGGCACAGGGGGGACTCAGTGATCTTGGAGGGCTTTTCCAACCTAAAGGATTCTGTGATTCCCCCCAAGGGCAAAGCAGCCCCCCAAAGTGATACCTGCAAGGGGGAACTTGGCAAGATGCAGTTTGACCAGACTGAGGTTTTACTGGAAGGAGGTTCCCAGCAGCTCTGGGTGTCAGTCAGTGTGTGGGTGGCTGGGGATGTGGCTTTGGGCCACTGAGGTTGAGGAAAGGCTTTAAGACCTCACCAGTATTAACCACTTTTAAATGGTTAACTTTGCAAGAGCTTTAAACTGTTTTCCTCTGGTCCTCTGTCTTGGTTTTTCCCTTTGTTTCTTGTCCTGTGCCAGGCTGGGTTGGGATCCTCAGCTCTGGAGAGGAGCAAAATAATAGAAGAATTAAGGCATGGAGTACCTTTTCTGTGGAACCAGGCTGGGAGAGCTGGGGGGGTTCACCTGGAGAAGAGAAGGATCCAGGGAGACCGGAGAGCCCCTTGCAGGGCCTAAAGGGGCTCCAGGAGAGCTGGAGAGGGACTGGGGACAAGGGATGAAGGGACAGGACACAGGGAATGGCTTCAAACTGCCTGAGGGCAGGGATAGATGGGATATTGGGGAGGAATTGTTCCCTGGGAGGGTGGGGAGGCCCTGGCTCAGGTTGCCCAGAGAAGCTGTGGCTGCCCCTGGATCCCTGGGAGTGTCCATGGCCAGGTTGGAGCAGCCTGGGCTGGTGGAAGGTGTCCCTGCCCATGGCAGGGGGTGGAATGGGATGGTCCTTAGGGTCCATTTCAACCCAAACCATTCCATGATTCTCCAGTTCTGTGTAAACATCCCAAAAGAAGAAAATTCCCTAAATGCCTGAGGAGTTTGTTAGAGAAGTTAGACAGGATTTTTTGGGGAAAATCACCCTCAGGTTTGCAGCTGGACAGACCTGAAGGCTGCAGTTGTCAGAGCTCAGACACTGTGCTGGGTCCAGACACGTGTTGGGGGCTTCCTCTCCCTGTTTGACACAGGAGGTGACACATCAGTAGATGCATTTGCTGCCTCATATCCACGTGTGTTTTCCAGCTCCTCCCCTCTCCCCTCAGCTCCTTCCCTGCTCCGTTCCCGCGCAAGGGTTGGATTTTTGCTCTACTTATTTTCCCCGCCACATTAGGCAATAACACGTCAGAGCAGAGCTCGTGGTGCCTGGTGGGCACGGGGCCAGCTGTCTGAGGACAGGCTGCCAAATCTCAGAAAAAAAGGGAAGCGTCTGGCACGCGAATTCCGAACGTGGCAGGAAACGTTTCGGGAGCGGGAGGCGGCAAAAGAGCTCGTGTTGCACATTTGGGACATCTGGGTGGTTTCTTCTTCTGTTGTGGAGAAAGCTGGGCTTATTTTATTTATTTTATTTTATTTTATTTTATTTTATTTTATTTTATTTTATTTTATTTTATTTTATTTTATTTTATTTTATTTTATTTTATATGCCCCTTCCTTTCTGCAAGACAAGGAGTCTTGTCATAGAATCCCAGAATCCCAGGATGGATTGGGCTGGAAGGGACCTTAAAGCCCATCGTGTTCCAGTGTAACAGGGTCCAGCTCACAACCACAGATCCAGGGATGGTGCTGCCCAGATCCCTTGGGCTGGGGGCCTGGCTCTGCTCCCACATGCTGGGCATCAGACAAACCCTCTGCTCCTTCACAGCCCACCAAGGGCCAGTTGCCAAAAGCTTTCAGCACCAGGAGGGTTCAGGTGCAGCAGCCCCACAGCACCATCAGAGACCCATGGGATGGGATGGGTTGGAAGGGACCTTGAAAGGACATTAAGTCCAACCCCCTGCCATGGGCAGGGACACCTCCCACCAGCACAGGCTGCTCCAACCTGGCCTTGGACACTCCCAGGGATGGGGCAGCCACAGCTTCTCTGGGCAACCTGTGCCAGGGCCTGCCCACCCTCCCAGGGTAGGATTTCTTCCCAATATCCCATCTAAACCTACTCTCTTTCAGTTTGAACCGATTCCCCTTGCCCTGTCTCTCCAGTTCCTGGTGAACAGCCCCTCTCCAGCTTCCCTGTAGCCCTTTCAGATCCTGGAAGGTGCTGTGAGATCTCCACACCACCTTCTCTTCTCCTAGCTGAACATCCCTAAATTCCTCAGCCTGTCTCCACAGGGAGGTGCTCCAGCCCCCCAACTTCAGGCCCTTCTCTGGACTTGCTCCACACTTGCATGTCCTCCTTATGTTGGAGGCACAGAATGCTCTGAAGGTGGTGCTCAGGTGCTCTCTCAGATGAGCTGCCTGGTTAAAATCCCACTGTCAGGCTTTGAGCCCCTTCCCCCTCAAGGCTTGGCCCTTGGACACATCCAGCTGCTGGACACAGATATGGGAACTAAGCCCTCAGCTGGGCTGGAGGTGCCCTGGGGTCATTCCCAGCTTGCTCCAGCCCCTGGCACAGCTGGAAGCCCAGCACAGGGTGGGAGAGGATCCACATCCTGCACTTGGGCACTCCACGCCTGGGGGAGGCAGGGGATGGGTGGGAGGAGGAGGAGGTGATGGTTAGGACTTCAAACTCTGCAGGTTGTCCTCCCTTCTACCCCAGCAGTTTGGAGGGTGAAATTACTGTCAGGCTAAGGGGACACAACTGTTCTGCACCATCTGGCAAAGGGCTCTGGAGGGAACAAGGGCAGATCCTGCACTGGGGGTTGGGATGGGGCAGCTTTGACCCCAGAGAAGCTGTGGCTGCCCCATCCCTGGGAGTGTCCCAGGCCAGGTTGGAGCAGCCTGTGCTGGTGGGAGGTGTCCCTGCCCATGGCAGGGGGCTGGACTAAATGTCCTTTCAAGGTCCCTTCCAGCCCAACCCATCCCATGGGTCTCTGATGGTGCTGTGGAGCTGCTGCACCTGAACCCTCCTGGTGCTGAAAGCTTTTGGCAACTGGCCCTTGGTGGGCTGTGAAGGAGCAGAGGGTTTGTCTGATGCCCAGCATGTGGGAGCAGAGCCAGGCCCCCAGCCCAAGGGATCTGGGCAGCACCATCCCTGGATCTGTGGTTGTGAGCTGGACTCGGACCCTGTTACATTGTTTTAACTTCATTTTCAGTGTTTAATTATTGCAGCCCAGATAACCCAAACTCCCAGTGTGATTTACTCTCTCTCTTTAACCATCTGGGTCACAGATATGCTCAGTTAATTAATGTGCTGAATCCTCCTTATTTGTCTGCCAGATAATGGCCTGATTCATAATTTAAAGAAGCAGCTGTGGATATCTTTCCCTTCAACTATAAAAGGCAGGACAGTGTCATTCATTCCTTTTTACTCCTGAATTTAAATATGTTTAGGGAAATCTTTGGGTGGGATTCCTTAAACCCTGGGAATGGAGGAGCCCTTTGTGCATGGCCCCAGGGTGGGGATATGTCAGTGCCTGATGACATTTCAGTGTCTGGTGCTCCCAACCTGCATCTTCTTGGCAGCTGAGCCAGGTCTCTTGCAGCACTGGGTGGTTGGATGCTGGGATATGCTGGGATATGCTGGGATATGCTGGGATATGCTGAGATATGCTGGGATTAGCAGCAATCCTGAGCCTTTGCTTGGGGCTGAGCTGTGGGGGAAACTCAGGATCACATTCCTGGGAAACAGGGCCAGGTCTGACAGTGCTGCCTGGCCCTTTTGGAGCTCTGGAGGCTGTGCCAGGCACACCAGGAGCACCAATCCAGGTCAAAGCCAGGCTGGCTCACCATGCTGGGCCAGCAATACCAGCCAAGCCAGCTGGGTCCAGCTGGAAACCAGGGAAATCATCCATGGCCCCATCCTACAGTGTTTGGGCCCAGAGGAGGATGGAGGAGAATCACAGGATGTGCTGAGCTGGGAAGGACCCCCAAGGATGCTGGAGTCCAACCCTCAGCCCTGCACAGGCCCAGCCCCAAGAGTCCCCCCCTGTGCCCCAGAGGATCATCCAAACCCTCCTGCAGCTCTGGCAGCCTTGGGGCTGTGCCCACTGCCCTGGGGAGCCTGTTCAGTGCCAACCACCCTCTGGGGGAAGAACCTTTTGCTGAGATCCACCCTGAGCCTGCCCTGACACAGCTCCAGCCATTCCCTGGGGGCTGTCCCTGGTCCCCCCAGAGCAGAGCTCAGTCCTGCCCCTCCTCTGCCCCTGCCCAGGCAGTTGGAACTGCAGGGAGGTCTCCCCTCAGTCTCCTCTGCTCCAGCTGAACACACCAAGTGCCCTCAGTGTCCTCACACGGCTTCAAATCCAGGTCCTTCCCCATCTCCGTGTCCCTCCTTTGGACACTCTCCAATGGCTCAATCTCTCCTTCCATTGTGTCCCCCCAAACTGCCCCAATATTGAGGTGAGGCCGCCCCAGGGCAGAGCAGAGCGGGACAATCCTGATGGGTTTAAGACTCAGAGTTATTCTTACCCCTTCCCTGTGTCTCATCTCCCCACCTTTTTTGTACATCTGAAAAAAAAAAAAAAACCAAAAACAAAACCAACAAAACCCACCAAATCAAGGCTAAAAAGTCTGGAGAAAGTTGGTTTTTCCCTCTTTTCAGTTCCACTCTCCCTGTGCCCCGTCCCCACAGTTCTGTCCTTTCCTGTGTCACTTCAGTGATGCTCCCACAGTGCTGATGGTCCTTTCTGTTCCTCGCTGCCCACAGCTGGCACGTTACACCAAGGAGGGGTTCCTACACCTGGGCGCCCTGGGCACCACCACCCTTCTCCCGGACACCCGGTGCCTGGTGGATAACGGGAAGAGCCGCTTCCCGCAGCTCCTGGACTGTGACAAGGTCAAGAGCAGCCTCCACAAGCGCTGGAGTTTCATCCAGGTGGGTTCCAAGCCTGCTTTCTAAACCCTGGGCTGGGGCACCTCCCCTGAGGGGAGATGCTGTGGAACAACAGGGTCCTAAGGCAGAGGGAAAAGGGGAAGAGGGATCAGGGGCAGGTCCATTTCTAGTTGAGATTTTCCTTTCTGATACCATAAAGGTGGAGCTGGTGGATGTAGCCTGCCCTGCCAATCCTTCCACATTCCTTATGGATAATCTCCATGAAAACACAGTATCTTTGTGCCAAGGCAGAGCGTGAATAATCCACCTTGTGTACACAAGTGTGCCACCTTCCCAACACAGGGCATTTAAAGGTCCCAGATGTTCCTTGGGTGCTGTTGGCATTGATGGGTGCTCATTCCACTCCCATTATTCCTTTTAGGAATTATTGTATTGCTGGAATTGCATTTCCACCCAGCTAGTGCTGTGCACCTTCCAGCAGAGCCCAAGGACGTGTCTGCACCCCTGGGTGCCATCCTGATTTGCTTCACAGGCAACCCAAGGTCTTCATTTTTTTTTTTAACACCTTCCCCATATCCTTGAATTTTAATTCCTTCCTTTCATTTCAGAACGGTGCCATCCTGAACAAGGGCACGGGGAGGTGCCTGGAGGTGGAGAACAGGGGAATGGCTGGGATTGATCTGATCCTTCGCAGCTGCACAGGACAAAGGTGGACAATTAAAAATTTCATCAAGTAAAGGCTGAAAGAGTCAGGGGAGTGTGACTGCAACCACAGCTGACCTGGACTGACCCGACAGGACTCCTTTGGAAAGGATGGAATATCGAAACAGAGCTTTATTCATGTTATCAGGAGAGGACATGGGGGAAAAATGGGCATTGCTGTCTTTCTTTTATTGTGCTGTAGTCTCCCCCAGCTGATTCCAGCTGTGTGAAATGGGGGCAGAACTGCTGTTTCCTGCTGCAGAGCACTGGGGAAGGTGCCACTTGTTGCTGCTGGGACGACTGGAATGAGCTCCTGCAGCCCTGGGAGCGTCGTACTGGCAGGGAATGGTTGCTTTCCCAGACAACTCCAAGCCCTCCCAAAGGGCTGGGTAGGTCGAGGGTCACCCACCCTGGATCCACAAGGGTAAAAACGTGGTGTGCATGTGAGAGGAAAATGGTCACCAGGAAAATCTGGTCACCAGGAAAATCTGGTCACCAGGTCCCAGATGAGAGGAGGTTGAAGGATGTGGTGTTTCGCTGGGTCTTTGCTCTCTTTTCCCTTCCTTGCCCCCGCATCCAGCAGCCCCTTTCCCTGAGTGCTGGAGAAACAAAACACACCCTTCATCCCCCCAGCCCTTAATCTCAGAAATGCCACTGAATAAACCCACTGATCTCCCATTCCCCCCCTCCCTCACCCACGTGTTGTTGGCCAAGCCCTGAGCAGCACCAGTCCCTCCTGTGGAGACCCCAAATTCCCCTTGGGAACGATGTGGGATGTCTGCCTGCCTTCTGGGGACATCAGGAATGGTGGTCTCCCCAACTCTGTAGTGGTGTTCTCTTCCTCAGGCTGCAGCACCCCTGTCCTGCCTGCTCCACGTGGGACCCTGGTCAGGATCCTCCCCAAACCCTGCTCGTCACTTCAGACCTTCCCGAGCCCTGGAAGGAGCAGAGAGGGAGGGCAAGAGACCAAACCAATGGCACTTCGACTGAAATTCTGGACCTTAAAGTCACTTCAGGCTTGTTAACGTGGTGGACTGGTCTCACAATAATTTTGGCTGCCAAATCTTGGCTCCCAAACCCCCCCAGTCGTCACGGGAGACCGTTGTTTGTGTGGGGCCCTGGGGTCTGGCTGACCTGGAAAAGGGAAACGTGGTCCTGCACAGCTGCTGTGCATGGATGGACAATGGATGGACACAGGCCTGGCTCAGCAGAGAGGAGAAGCCAGTCCATCTCCTGTCCTTCTCACAGAATAATACTCTTCCTGGTTGCCCTCTGGCTAGGGTGCACTAAAATATATTAATATATGAGATGTATGTGTAAATATGGTTCCCAAAGGTGGGATGTGCACAGAGTTGTTTGCTGCAGAGCACTCATGCCTGTCTTCCATTTGCATCAGGATGAAGCTACCTGGATGTTTAATGAGTTTAATTTTCAATGCCATGCAGCGGGTTTATAACTGATGTTTTAGTAATTTATTGAACAGAAGCAGATATATTTCATTGTTCCTTCTACAGCAACATAGGACTGATTGTTCATTTAGGCTTTACAGGACTCCCCCAAGCACTGGGGTTGTCCCTGATTATTTCCTTTGCCTTCCTTAATGAACTAAAACCTCTTAGTTGTCCTGAACTGCAAAGTAGGGAGTCAATGTGGAATTTTGCTCTCCTCCTTCACTGTTGCATCATCTCTCGTGTGATAAATCTCAGCCCTTACCAACCCGATATGATCACAAATCTTTAGATGCATGATCTGTTTTCCCCCTTCCATTTGTTGCTGCCTTCTAAGAAAAGCAATTTCCTGCTGAAATGGACTCTAGGCCAGTCTGGGGGGTTGGTCAAACTGGTAAAAAGCCCTTTAACCGAGCAATCAGTTTGCTGTCAGTCACCAGCGGCAGCCACATATTGGTCAGAGGAGGGAAAAGCCTGCATGTTTCAGGATAAACAATCAAAAACGTTGTAAAACTCCTAGTTCCCAGTCCAGCTCGAGTCCTGCCAGGGCCCAGGGCACCAGCAGATGGGCTTTGTCACATTTAATCGTGGTGGGATGAGGTGCCACCCCCCAGCCCTCCGTCTGCCCCGCTGCTGGCGGCTCCCGCCCCGTCACCGGCAGCACCACTGAATGTGTGGCCTCACCTCAGCTCCCATCCCTGGCAGGAGCTGCTCCAGGTGCCAGGCAGGAGGGACTGGCTGTGTTTAGCTCTCTGGATGGTCACCACAGCCCCTCTGGGATGTCCCTGTGTCCAGCAGCCCCTGGCAGAGCATCTCCCGGTGCCATCAGTGCCGTCCCTGCGCTCCGGTGGCACAAGGTGAGGATCCTGTTGGTGATGAGCTCTTTGATCCTTTATTAAGGTTCATGGATGCCTTTTCTTCGTGCTCCATGTGGAAAACAACCCCCTAAACTCTCCACAAGGACGGGGAAGCTGGAAATGATCCCTCAGATGGGGCAGAGCCCCCACTGAGGTGTTTGCCCCTTGTCGCTGCTGTAATCGCAGCCTTCAGTGACTGAGAAGAATCAGGAAGATCAGCACGAGCAAAAAGAGGAATGAAAGGGAGAATTTCATCTGCTGTGTCCGTGTAAGTGAAATTCTGACACTGGTTTGTGACATGCAGAGGTGATTGCTGAGGCCACGGCCCAAGGTCTGCACCCTCCGAAAACGTAGGAATCTGTCTTAGAAATCTGGGTCTAATTGTTGCATCTTGGCTTATCTCTAATAATATGTTAATTGCTTTAAGAAGTGATATCCAAGTGATTCTTATTAAATATATTATTTGAGCCTTGTCTCCTGAGTGGTTTTAAAAAGATTCACTGCTGATGAGATACCGAGGCAGTCATTCTTCTCTGGTACTTATTTAATAGAAAAGTGCTGCTTTTTTAATGAAACTTCCACTTTTAAAAGAAATGGAAATGAAAGAGAAATCAAGAGAGATGGTGGACACAGATTAACTCCCATCCCATCCCATCCATCCCACTGCTGTCACTCACAAGATAACACAGTTACATCCCAGAACTAGAGGGGAGACACGGTAAATAAAGCAGCGTTTGCAAACGTGTTCCTGAACCCAGGCTGGGGGATCCTGCGTGCTCCTCAGTGTTACCTGGAGCTCAGGGCACTCCAACCCACTTCCTTACACCTGTATTCTCCTAAAAACCAGGTGCTGTGGTGCCCTATAAGGAGAGTGAGGGATGGGCAGCTGCTTTCCCAGGCAGGAGGGAGGTGTCTCTGTGGGTGCCCCGTGTGACAAGGGCACCACAACAGCTCCTCGGGTGGGAGCAGCAGCCATGGGCAGGGACACCTTCCACTAGCCCAGGTTGCTCCAACCCGACCTGGACACTTCCAGGGATGGGGCAGCCACAGCTTCTCTGGGAATCCCAACCCAGCTCGTCCCCACCCTCACAGGGAACACTTTCTCTGTGAAATCCCATCTATCCCTGCCCTCTGTCAGTTTGAAGCCATTCCCTCTTGTCCTGTCACTCCAGGCCCTTGTCAGTGGTCTCTCCCCATGTTTTCTGTAGCCCCTTCAGCTCCTGCAAGGCCACAGTTGTGTCACCCCAGAGCTTCTCTTCTCCAGGTGAACAATCCCAGCTCTCCCAGCCTTCCCTCCCAGCAGAGCTGCTCCATCCTCTGACCCTCTTGGGGCCTCCTCTGGGCTCTCTCCAGCAGCTCCATGTGCTCCCTGTGCTGTTCCCCAGGGCTGGGGCAGCTCTGCAGGGGGGTCTCACCTGAGGGCAGAGGGGCAGAATCCCCCCCTGCCCTGTGCCCACCCTGGGGATCAGCCCAGGGCACGGGGGGTTCATGTCCAGCCTCTCCCCCAGGTCCTTCTCCCACCTGCTCATCCCCAGCCTGGATTGATGCTGGGATTGCCCTGATGCAGAGGCAGCTCCAGCCCTTGGCCTTGTTGAACCTCAGGAGATTCCCAGGGGCCACTTCTGGAGCTTGTCCATGTGGATGGTCCCATCCTCCAGGTGTGTCCCTGCACCCTCAGCTCGGTGTCACCTGCAAACCTGCTGGGGGGGCCCTTGATCCCTTCATCTGTGTCACTGATGAAGATATCAAATAACACTGATCCCAAAACAGACTCCTGGGAGACCCCACTCATTCCTGGTATCCCTCAGGACTCTGAGTCATGGACCACCCTCTGGAGTCCACAGTGAGCTCTTCCCCTGCTGCTGCCCTTTGTGCTGCCCTGGGCAGGGAGCAGAACTCTCAGAAAGTTCCCTCTAAGCCCTCAAATGAAGTTAAACTCATTTCAAAGTCAGAAGTTTCGCTGATGGACTCCCAGCAGAAAAGCCTCTGCTTGGGCACGGAGCAATCTGGGCACTCATCTGCTGCTGGGCACAGAGCTGAGCACTCCACTGGGCAGGGGGAAATGAGGCATTAGAAACCTCTGCAGCTCATCCTGGCAGATGGAAGCCATCCTTTGGTGAGCTGGGGACTGGGAAAAGCGTGTGTGGCCATTAGGAATCTCAGCTGGATTTCCAAGGACAGGAAGGATGAAGGGTCATTCCCTGTGGCTGCCGAACCAAAAGAGTCCTTTAAACATCAGAAAAGCTTTGTGCCAGCTTTAGGGACATAAATAAACCCTTCCAGCCCCACCAGCCTGGTAAAGGTGAGGGGCTGAGCTCTTTTTCTGTAGGGGGCTGGTCCTGTGTGTTGGGGGAAGTGGTTCCTGGAATCCCTGTTCTTATAAATGAAAAAAAATCCACTAATTAATTATGGCTTGAAGTCTTCCTGCAGGCAGGAACCACACAACCCTCTGGAGCCAGGGAAGCTGCTCAGCTCCTTCACATGCCCAGCAAAGTCAGGAGTGGTGGGACTGGGATTTTAGTCAGGACTGGTGGGAGGGAGGAGCTGAGGAGCAAAGTGACATCATCCTTCCAGGAACAGTCAGATAAAATAGCAGAGCAGAGTGAGGAGCTTCAGAGCCCAGCTCAGCATTCTCCACTGCTCCAGGATATCCCATCAGGAGCAGGTGGGTTCAGTGTCCCACCCCACGGGGATGAGTGTGGTAAATACCTGCCCACGTAGGAACTTGTGGCAGCAAAGAAAAAAAGGGTTCAGTTCCTTCCCAGCAGCTGCTTTGGGTTATTTCTAAGCCCCAGCTGAGAATTTGGCCCAAGTGCTTTGGTTCCCACTTGGAGCCAAGATCCTGCACAAGGCAGGGAAAATAATAACCTGGGCTCCAGGGGCTCCTAAACTGCCAAATGTTTACTTGGAAGCCATGCAGGAATCACCACCTGGAACAGCCACCCTGGGCCTCTGAGTCAAGTGTTTTTCCTCCAGCAGAAGGGGGAAAAACAGAGAGAGAGAGACCCTACAACCCTGGGAGCTTTCCAGGGGGAGAGTTTCTTATTTCAGTCACATCTGGTGACTCTGAGACCTGATGGGTAATAGCTCCCCAAATGTCTTCCCTGCCTATTGTAATTCCAGCTTTTATTGATATAGGCAAGTGTTTCACAGTTTCAAGAGCCCAGGCAGGGACTAATTCCTTATTGTGCTCCTCAGCAATCACAGCCAGGAGGGAACAGCACTGGAGTGGGGACAAGTTGAGCTGTGCTGAGCTGCAGAACTGGCACCAGCACCAAAATGGGGGCGACATTTTTTCATTTATAAATGGGGGCCACTGGCATCCTGAGGGTGGAACAGCCACCACGAGGATCCTTTGAGCCTCCCGAGGTTGTTTCCTGCCTGGAAAATGTGCTCAGAGCCTCATCCCAGGAAAACTGGCCCAGTGGTGGAGCTCTGCATGGCAGAGAGGGAGCTGAGCTCCCACAGGGATCTCTGGCACAGGCAGGAGCTTCCTGCAGAGGTGCTGAGCTGGGAGAGGGGTGGTGGGTTGCTGGATGCCCACCCAGCTGCCCTCGCCCACCCTCCTTCCACAGCACGGCAGGGGCAGAAAATCAGCTGGGAAAGCTGGTCAAGAGAAGGGCAGGGAGGTCACTCACCAGGTGCCATCATGGGCAAAACAGTCTTGACTCGAGGGAAAACAATCTCATTTACTGCAATTAAAAACGGGGTGGGTGGTGACAAACAAACCAAACCCACCTTCTTCCCAACAACCCCGTTTCCCAGGCTCAGCTTCCCCGTGTCATTCCCAACTCTTCCACCTCCTCCCCGCTCCCCAGGAGGGTGGGGATGGGGGGCTGCAGTTGGTCCAGCACACTCTGCCTGTTGGTCCTTCCCCCTGTGCCACCGTGGGGTCCCTCCCACGGGATCACGTCCTTCTTGAGCTGCTCCAGCTGTGGATCCTGCCTGGGCCACAATTCCTGAAAGAAAACCTGCTCCAGCCTGGGCTCTCCGTGGGCTGCACCTTCCTCCAGGGCATCTCCACCTGCTTCAGCCTCCTCCAGGGGCTGCAGGGGGGGTCTCTGCTTGCCCATGGACCCCAGAGGAGCTGCCCTGGCACCTGGGGCACCTCCTGCCCCTGCTCCTGCCTGACCTCCTCTCTGCAGGGCTCTTTCTCTCACACTTTCCTCTCTCTCTGCATCTGTGCAGCATTTTTTACCCTTCCTTAGCTCTGTCACCCCAGAGGTGCCACCAGGGTCCCCCTGGCCTTGGCTCTGGCAGCACAGTGGGTTTGGAGCCGGCAGGACCCCAAACTCAGCGTGTCCTGCCCCCAGATGGGACCCCCCCAGCTCTGGGAGGAGAGCAAGGACAGCCCAGCTCGGGCTGGGAGAGAGGGAGGGATTAGCAGGGCAAGGAGAGCTCCTTCCTGCCCTTCCTGGGGACAGCTGGGAGGAACTGAGGAGCTGCTCCACCTTTGGAGAGGTCTCTGGGCAGCGCTGGCTCCTCTGCAGCACCAGGACATGGTGCAGACCCCCTGATCCCCCTGCCCTGTCCCCTGTGATCCCACAGGGACCAGCATCCCCCTCCCACCCCCTGCCCACGCCCAGCTCTGCCCCTCGGCCCCGGGGCCAGCTCAGCACGACCTCCATTCCCTCTGGGGTGTTATTTTTGTCCCACTTTGTCCTTAGTGGTGCCTTGTCTCGGTTTTAGTGTCTGGGGCTGCCTGACATCCCCCCTTTGTTCTCTCTCTGAGTTTGCTGCCGTTCTGGCCCCTCTCATCCCTTTGTTCTCCCTGTGTTTTCCTTTGTTTGCTCCTTTCCCTTTGTTATTTCTTTTGATTGCTTATTTCCACTTCTGATTTTTTTTTCCTACTCTCCCTCATTCTTTCTTGTTTCATCTCTCTTTTTTTTGCCTCTTGCTTTGTTTCCCCCTTATTCCTGTTCTCTCTCCTCATGGTTTGCTCTCTGTGTATCCTCATTTTTCTGTTTAAATTCCCCACCTCCCCCTTTCCTCCCCGAGTCTGCATTTGGAGTGGGAAAAAGTAGGAAACCAGTGTTTCTGTCTTTAAATTTTAATCATAGTGCCTATAATCCAAATCCAAATCCTGGTGGTTTTTTTTCCTTTTTATTTCCAAGGAACAGACAATCAGCACATCCTGTGGCAGCAGCTGGGCCTGTCCTGCCTCTGCCAGGGCTGCAGTGCCCGGACACAGGCTGGGAGATGGTGACTGCATGGATACATCCATGATTCTCCCAGATCCCAAGGCCTCCCTGCCAGGAAAAGGTGCAGATAATGGGTAGATCCTGCTTTCAAGCACCAGAAATCCACGGGGCTTGGGGGCCAAGAGGGTGTGGTGAGCCTGTGGCCCTTCATTTGAGGGTTTGGATCATCCACGTGGATGGAGAGGGAAAGGGACAAAGTGGGTCTAACTTTCTGGTCTTATTTTTTTCTAATAAGGAAAAAAACACCCCACCAAAATACTCTGCTA